TGTTATATTTTAAAATAGGGTCTCACTAAGTTCTGAGACTTGTTTAAACTTGTAACCCTCCTGGGCTGGGGATGTGGCTCAAGTGGTAGCGCGCTCGCCTGGTATGCTTGCGGCCCAGGTTTGATCCTCAGCACCACATACCAACAAAGATGTTGTGTCCACCGAGAACTAAAAAATAAACATTAAAAATTCTCTCTCTCTCTCTCTATAAAATAAAAAAAAAAAAAAAACTTGTAACCCTCCTGCCTCAGTCTCTCCAGTCACTAGGATAACAGGCATAATCCACTACACCCTGCAAAAGCTCCACTTATTTTAATCCATTTAGCATATTTGAGATAATAAACTTTAAAAACAAATAAATCTATTGAATTCAAAGTAAGAACAAAGTTTTTAAAAAAAACTACAATAAAATAAAAAGGCATACAGATGGTCAAGTTTCTGAAGTATTTGATTCTGATTCTATTTTAAGAACAAAAAAAAATCAATCCTAGTTCAACTATTTTGTGTGGCTTCTTTTTTTTTAGCTCCTTGTCTTTAAAGAGAACTTCCATTTAACTTTCTGCCATTTCTAAGTAGCTGATTGAGTGGTTTTCAGTCAAATCCAAAAAGTTATTTTGTGTTTGGCACAGTGGTGCATACCTGTGATCCCAGCTATTTGAGAGGGCTAAGACAGGAGGATCCCAAGTTCAAGGTCAGCTTGAGAAATTTAGTGAGATCCTCAGCAACTTAGCAAGGCCTCAAACTAAAATAAAAAATGGTCTGGGGATGTAGCTCATTGGTAGAGTGCCCCTGGGTTGAATACCAGTACTACCAAAAAAAGAAAGAACAAAAAGTTCAAAACTCATTGCAGCAACTTAGTGAGTTCCAGTCTCAAAATTTAAAGGGCTGGGGATATAGCTCAGTGGTASAGCACTTTCTTAGTATGCATCAGTCCCTGTGAGTTCATCCCCAGCACTGGAAAATTTTTTTTAATTTTGTAAGACCACTTAGGTCTTCTTACTCAACTTCAGTTTTAGTCCAGCAAGACCTACCTTATCTGTAGCTATCTTCAGAGGAGACACTTCTGCTATTTCCTAAGGGAAATAACCTCATCCATTGCTCAAAACTACACTGCCTATTCTCTACCCTTCAAACAAAAACATTTCAAAGTCTTTTACAGTTTTCCCCTACATTAGTCTAATCAGTAAATGGTACATACTCACTCCTATAGAATCAGGCTCCTCAGGCCCATCTAGGCAATGCCTGACTCTACACTGAAAAAACACTCAGTTACCCCTTTTGCTTATTTCCAAGTTTGGGGTAATTTTTCTTGACATTCAGAACCTTACGCGTAGAAGTTGGTTAACAAATGTTTGTGAAGGTGGATAATACTTTTAGGTAAATTCTGTAGTCCACATTTAGCTGTACTGACTGTGAAGTCTCAGGAGACTCAGACTGATAGGAGCAGGATGCCTGTGACATGAATATAGTATTTATAGAAGTAAAGCTTTTTATAAACTTCTGTTCCCTTGTATTCTGTTAGCCCTGAGATGCCTGAAAATGAAGCCACCTTCGCAATAACTGCTGGAGGAATTGGGGATGCCAAGGAGTAGGTGGTGAATTGATGCAAATTGCTTCTCAGTGCTTATTAGGAGCTGAAGAGATGGAAAAGCTGTCTTGCATTTCAGATCTTGAAATAAGAATTTAGTTTTTTCATATGTTATTAAAGGAAAGTCAGCAAAAGAATTACATTTTATATTTATCTTAAAAGTCTCTGATATATAGCTATACATTGCATGTCATTTCAAGAATATACACATATATTCCTGAATTGTTTATACTAGGTGCATGTGTGTGTGTTTATCTACTTAACAGAAACTAGTTGGGGAAGGGATGCTACATTGCTTCACTTTCATTTTTCCAAGTGAACCACTAAGCAAAGTGAARGTCTGGGAGCTCAAAAAGCCCCTTCTCCTGCAGACTTCCCCTCAGTACTCTACCACTGAGCTACATCCCTAGCCCATTTTTTATTTTAATTTGAGACATYAGCCTTGCTAAGTTGCTGAGGCTCTCACTAAATTTCCCAAGCTGATCTTGAACTTGGGATCCTCCTGTCTTAGCCTCCCAAATAGCTGGGATCACAGGTATGCACCACTATGCCCAACACAAAATAACTTTTTGGACTTGACTGAAAACTACTCAGTCAGCTACTTAGAAATGGCAGAAAGTTAAATGGAAGTTCTCTCTAAAGAAGACAAGGAGCTAAAAAAGAAAGAAGCCACATAAAGTAGTTGAACTAGGATTGATTTGTTTTGTTCTTAAAATAGAATCAGAAGCAACTACTGTGGGGAAGTACTGGGGCACAGTACTGCTGACTTACAGAGCTTGATGCTCTTCTGCAGTAGGAAGATGGTTAAGCAGACAACGTTTATAGATGCCAAAAAAAAGCTTTTTAAATTTACACTATCAAACTATGTAGTCACCTTAATAGCAACAGAAAAAACAACAACATTAAATTAAGCCAAATTTTAAATCATTTGACTTTTTGACAAGATGAAATTATTTTTAAAATGTATTTCTGATGCATGCATATTCTCTTGGGAAGGTAAAAAAGTAATTAGAAAATTTATGATATTGGATAATAAAGGTAATATGATTTTTATATTTTAAGTTTTGGGTAGAGAATTAAAAATATTTTTTAAATGTTAAAGTTAAATTTAAAATTTCTGAATAGTAATTTTAGAAATGTATAAAAGACTATTGTTGTTTTTAATTGTTAAACAAATAAAATTTAGCTTTCAAAATATTTATATGATGAAATATTTAAAATTAAAAGATTAATGATATATATATAAGAACAATCTTTATAGACTTCAGACTTAATCTTTCATGTTGCATTAACTTATATGAAAATTCAAGTATTAAAAGCACTTTTTTATAAAACTTATTTGATTATCCATTAAGTCTCTTGCTCACTAGTTGTTTCTGAATGCTAAGTGCTGAGGACACTTTGGTTCCTGCCTCAAAGAATGTACACTAGTTAGAAGACTAATTTTTATAAAAAYAAGAAAGCAAATTACTATATAATTATTTTGTCAGTTGCATGGTCTTGAATTGACCCTTAAAAGAAAAGTAGAAATCCAAAAGTGGCAGAGAAAAGGTATCAGAGAGCACTTACAAAAGTACAGAGGCTGGGAACCAAAAACAAAGACCAGCCTGGAGAGCAGAGACTGCTCACAGTGCAATAATGGAGAAGCAGAGCCTTTTCTTCCTTCTACTGTTTTTAAACCACAGAAGCTACTTCTCTGAGTAAAGCAGAAATAAAAACATGTAGGAGCAAAGTTTTTGTATTCTGAAAAATTACTTTAGTGGATACTTCTGATATGCACATTGTAAGGCATGCTTTTGTCTTGCAAGGAAGGGAAGGTTTTGTTACTTGATGCTTTGTTTATATTTTTTATTTTCTGTATATTTTGATTTATCTCAAAAAGTCTTTCTGGCCAAAAAAGAAACTGCTCCTCCTGGGGCTAGCCAATTTATAGGAATAGGAAAGGGCCTTTGATATACAAACAAACCAGTCTGCATCAGCCCTCCTGTAGGTGCTATTCCTCAATCATCCCAGGCCCTAGTACCAGCCCATTCCTGTAGTTTAGAGCCCATGGAGATTATTCCAACTGGCCAATCCTAAACCAGCTACCCAACCCTGTCCTGCCCTGCCTTGCCTTTCCCTCAGAAATTTCAGTAAAGGTCATGGTCCAGGCTCTTCCTTCATTCCAGTCTTCACCTTGGTGTTGTCTCCCATGCCCCCAAATGGCATGTGGTAACCCCCTTTCTAAAATCGGTAAGTATAAACTTTCTTTTCTATGAACCTTTCCTATGTTTTCTCCTGTGGCCACGCTGACTGACTATCCTGTGCATACACAATTTGAACAGTCTTTAACAACATTCTTAATAAAAACTGAACATCTTGAGGTCAGGCATGCCTGTTATCCCAGCAGTGCAGGAGGCTGAGGCAAGAGTATCACGAGTTCAAAGCCAGCCTCAGCAATTTAGCAAGGCCCTAAGCAATTCAGGGAGACCCTGTCTCTAAATAAAATACAAAAAGGGGGGCTAGGGATGTGGCTCAGTGGTTGAGTGCCCCTGAGTTCAATCCCCAGTACCCCCAAAAAAGAAAAAGAAAAACCTGAACATCTCCTCGAGATTCTCTGGTATGGACAGCCCTGAAGAGGGAATAGACCAATTGGTCTAGAAGCCCAGAGCCCTTTGGGGAGGAAGAAAACAAAACTCCCAAGATTGGAAAATCAGAACTTTTTCTGGGTGATACCGAGTACCCTGACAATGGTGAATTTACCAAAAGATGGGCAATAAGGTTGGAAACCAGGGTCAACAGATGGGTCTGTAGTTCTGTGAGGAGGGCTGGTTTCAATATGGCATGATGCCAAGGCAGGAAACTTGTCAGGTCCAGCCACTCTGACATGTCCTGCTTTGGAAAACAGTGGCCGAGCATGCAAATGTGAACTAAAAAGCTGTAATTTCAGACCTAATTTTGGGTTACTGCTGCAAATCGCACAAGTGCCTGGGCCAGCAAGAGCATCACCAGGTGCCCACTGAATTTCTGTAGGCCAGAGTTCACTTTCTCACTTGTTTCCAAAGCATCAATATTTCCCAATCCTCCATCTCCACCTGAGAGTAAAAGGAGATCTGGCTTCATATTTTAAGGAAAGTGAGGGTGTGGGGCCTAGGTGTGGAGCTTTCAGAAAGAGAGTTTATTGCCYGGCACAGTGGTGCATGCCTGTAATCCCAGTGGCTGGGGAGGCTGAAGCAGGAGGATCAAGAAGTCAAAGCCAGTCTCAGCAACGGCAAGGCACTAAGCAACTCATGAGACCCTGTTTCTAAATAAAATACAAAATAGGGATGGAAGTGTAGCTCAGTGGTTAGGTGTCCCCGAGTTCAATCCCTGGTACCAGAAAAAAGAAAGAGGGGGGGGGGGGTTATTGGTTAGGGTTCTTTTAGTTGCAAGCCACATAAATGAGCATGTTCAAGACAAGGATTCATTGGCTTAAGAGACTGAAAACTGGGCTGGGGATGTGGCTCAAGCGGTAGCACGCTTGCCTGGCATGCGTGCAGCCCGGGTTCGATCCTCAGCACCACATACAAACAAAGATGTTGCATTCGCCGAAAACTATAAATATTAAAATTCTCTCTCTTAAAAAAAAAAAAAAAAAAAGACTGAAAACCCAGAGGAAGAGCTCATTTCAGTCTCAGGTGGAGCTGAGATTTTAAACTACTCGTCCTTGCTGTCTCTGTCTCCTACTTCGCTTGTTTCTTTGCTGCCATTGTTATTGGAAAGGCTATCCCAGGACAGTAGCTGTGGCAGCTCTAAGCTACCATTCCACTACGTTAGAAACCCACTAGAAAAAGTATATCTTTTTCATCATAGATTATGCATTCTGTGAAGATAAACAAAAACCACCCAAATGAGAACAGACAGAGGCCAGGCTCAGTGGCACTTGTCTGTAATCTCAGCTACTTTGGAGGCTGAGGCAGGAGGATTGAAAGTTTGAGGCCAGTCTCAGCCACTTAGCAAGACTGTTTCTCAAAAAAAGGACTGGAGATGTCATTCAATGGTAAAGTGCCCCTTAACTGAATTGCTGGGTTCAATCCCAGAAAAAAGAGAGCAGAGGCTATTTATTCAGAGGTTGCTATAGCAAATGAGTCTGTGGCCATCATTTGCTTTCAGTAGAGCCAAAGACAGGTGAAGGAATGGGAACGAGTTGGAGCAAAAAATGGGAAGGTTTCTGGCATGCTCTGAGTGGAATGAGAGAGATTTCCAAACAATCCTTAAGATCTGGAGTAAAGTAGACTATAACAAGGAAGAGCAGGTTCAAAGTCCTGCAGCCCACCAGAGAGGATTATGATTCATGAAGAGGAATAAAGAAGAGTAAAAAATCAGGGCTTTTACCTGAGAGGGCTATCATCTGAGCTTGCTAAGGCTGCCATAACAAAGTGCTGCACACTGCCAGTAAACAATAGAAATGTATTGTCTCACAGTTGTGGAAGCTGGAAGTTCAAGATCAAAGTTGATTCTCTGGGGGCTGTGAAGAAGAATTGGTTTTATGCTTTTTCCCTAGCTTCTGGAGGTCATTCCTGGGCTTGTAGAAGAATCATCGGGATCTCTGCCTTCATTTTTCACATGATGTTCTCCCTGTGTGCACATCTTTATGTCCAAATTCCCCTTCTTATAAGGACATCACTCATACTAGAATAAAGTGATATCCTAATCCAGTATGAACTCACCTTAACTCATGTGCAAAGACCTTACTTCCAAATAAGGTTGCATTTTGAAGTTTGGGAGTGAAGGACTTCAACATGAATGTTGGGAAGACACAGTTAAGCCTAAAATATTAAGAATCATGTATAACTGAGGGTTAAACACCAGGATAAACAAGACATAATCTGAAGTCAATACTGACTAGAGTCATAAACATGCAAATCAAGGGCTGGTGGTGTAGCTCAGTGACAGAGCACTTGCCTAGCCAAGTGCATGAGGCCCTGGGTTTCATCACCAGATGAAAGGAAAAGAAGAAAAAAAAAATAGAAGTCAAGATCTGGAGGAATCTTTACTAGGAAAAA